CAATGCGTTCCAACAATGGCTTTTATGCCATGTTACTTAGCAACAAAAGTATATAGGCTATACTTTTATGCTAAAATGGGTTCAGAATACGCACACTATCAACCTGATAACCCGAGCGAAGACGGGTACTTTTGCTAGTATATATACATATATAACTGCGTGTCATAAAAGAAGGAGCTTATGAAAAGTTCAAGCACTTTTAAGAGTAACAAGATTTTAAACTTGAATGTGAAAAGTGAAGTATCCTATTGCAGGTAATAATAAGTACATAAAATAACCTGTAGTTTAATGTGTTGTTTTAAGTAAAGAAACGCGAAAAACAAAGTGTATTTCAAACAATTTTACATCTGTTACGTATCTGCGTGTTTGTTAATTCCCGGTAGAAATTCTTTCCGAGGAACTTCAGCGATACAAGTCCTTTCTTGATTAAACCACTTTATTCTTTCTCGATACAAACTTTTAGTACACAGTAGTTCCACAATCAGTACTTTTCTCGTCACTTTAAACTTAACAACTTTTATAATACACGCTATAAGTCACAGCGATTCACAATCTCGATAATTTCGCTCTCTACGAGTACATAACACACTTTATTTTACCCCCGCTGGCTTTCGCTGCCAGGCTTATATACTAAAGAAGAGGGCATCTCGAACAAACTCGGGCTTCCCCGATAATTCGAGAAACTCAGTTACTCATGCGTTAGCAGCGTCACATGACTTCCGCTGTCGTAACGTATCTTTAAAAATGTGTTTTCAAAAGTAATTTGACAGAACTTTCAAACTTGAACTTTTATGGGGCTAAGAATTAATCAAATATTGTAGTTTAGTAACACATTACTTTGCCACAAATGTTCTGTAACATCGTCTGACAAATATCGAGTGAAATACGTTAAGACGGCTGTGAGATATTTGATTTGTACTCAGGTCGTTTTTCAACAGGGTGTTTCCTCTCTGGTCGATTAAAACCGTCTAGCAACTAACAAAAATTTAAATATATCAAGGATTTAGCCATTTGCGGGAGGCTTAGTGAATATTACTCAGAACAATAGAAGGATATGTGATGACAGTTCCGGTATTGGATCCGAAAATTCGTCTTAAAAACATAGTTCTACATGTATATCTCCAGTTTATTGTCTGAGTAATTGTTATAATTAAGTTGTGACTCTCGTAGAATATTTATCGTAATGCTGATCTGAAATTTCAATTAAAAATTAAATCTGATAAAGAATTATGGATCAATGTTATTTTTTCAGCATTATAAGCTAGAAGAAGAAAAAATATACCACCCATTTTCGCTTTAAGTCAATCGACCAATTGATGAACTGAGTGTATTTTTTCCTGATACATTAACAAATATACCGTTTTTTTTAACGTCCTATATTTATTCATTGCAACTGTGTGCAAATCAGACGTAGGGTATTCGTATTCGAATACAGCGTTGGGAGTATTCGTACTTGTATTTGTATACTTTGGTAGGGAATATTAAAGTCTTCGTATTCGAATTCAATGACATAGTATTCGTACTCGCTGAATTGTTTAGTGAATACTTAATATTTTAAGAGTAAATGTCATATTTTGTACTCGTATAATTTCTACACTGTCATTATTACATCCGAAGCATGTTAAATCAGATCAATACTCTCTACCACCTTAAAAGTTCTTGTATTACATGGTTATCAACATAATTTTCTGACAGCCCCTGGTTATATTTCATTCCCCTTCGGGGTATGAAATATACTTTAAACCTAAATTCCTACCATGCTAGATTGGATTGGTTATTAATCCAATCAAGTCACTTGAGAGAATTTGAGATGGCTACTAAACTGCCTTCAGTGGTACATGAACACTTCATACTTCCTACTGATAGATCTGGTCATATCAAGGCAAAGTGTAAATATTGTGAGCGGACTGTTTCTACATCAGGAAAAACCACTTCTGACCGCCATAGCACAGCGATATGTCTGCGGACTCAGAACGCTAGAAACCGGGTTTCGATACCCGTGGTGGGAAGAGCACAGGAAGTTCATTATGAAGCTTTGTGCTTAACTTCAAACAAAAACCACTTCTAAGTTGTTGATACAACTGAAGGTAAACCTTTTTTATTATTTTTGTCAATATGAACTATATTTTATGTAAATTATACAATACAATATAGGCAAACTAAATTTCTTATGCGTGTTAAACCATATTTTTTACAATTTTCAGTTATTTAGTATTATATGGTGTTATTATAAAATATATTTTATAATATATATAATTGAGATATTTATTTATTGTGATATATCTTTTATTATTTTTATTATTACAAACTACATTCTATAGTTAAACTAAATTTATCATGTTTTGAACTATATTCATCATTTTTATTTATTATTATATGTTTTTATTATTTCTATTATAAACTATATTCTATATTATGTAACTGAGGTATGCTTTTGTATTTCTAGCGCAATCATAAGGCAGAACTACTGAAGTCTACATCTGGCACTTCCGCCCAGGTGCAGCAGCTTACAATAACAGCGTACTGTACAGAATCAACTAAATATAAGTCTACACACCTTCGTCAGAAGCACATTATTAACAAACTCGTCAATGTTATTGCCTGTACACTGCAAGCATTCTCAGTGGAGCCAAAGGATTTTCAAGATCTTATGGCAATATATTCTTTCCAGTCACATCTGTCCACAGTGTTGATCGAGAGCAGGTTTGACGATGTCAAACAAAAAGTTGTCTCTCTACTGCAACTTGTAACCAACATCAATGTCACTGTGGATATCTGGAGTAGCAGATAAATGCGCAGCTTTCTTGAAATCACTAGTCATTTGATATTTGACTGAAAAATGTAAACAGTCATGCTGGTATGTCTGCGTTTCAATGGGCGTCATACATCTGATAACATTGCAGCTCAATATAATGAAATAATAAATCTCTTTAACATCAACAACAAGGCGTCATATGTGACATCTGATAACGCATCCAACATGATCAAGGCTTTATGCTTACCTGGGTTTGAGCCGCAAACACTACCTAGTGTGAGAAACGGTGGTAGCTCATCTACAGATAGTAACTCAGAAGATGAACTTTTGAATGAATCTAAATCAGCAGACAATTTATCCGAATGTCCTCCTAAACAGCTTGTGGTCAGGGATGGCAAGAAAAAACTCTGAACCACTGCTAAAAATAATTTCCAAAACATTAGCCATCGTGTCCTACATTCGAAAATCAACGCAAGCAACTGATCTACTTGAGTGAGAGGCCAGAGTTCAGTCGGTAGCAGCAACACGATGGAACTCAGAAATTAAGATGATTAAGTCTTTATTAAAGATTCCCCAAAAGAAGTTGGATAATCTAGATACTGGTACATCGAAACTTACTTTTTATGACTGAACTGTGCTTGCGGATTTGAAGACACTTTTTAAAGAGGCAACAGATTTCACCCAGGATCAGAACATTGTTACCTCCAGTTATGTAGTACCACGTGTTTATGGAATGATAACTGAGATTGCATTGGATCTCAGATTTAAATTTGACTGGTGTTTCACTAGACCTATAGTCTATGAATCTAATCGAATGCTCCTGTAGCAAAAAGTCAAGGACCTTTTCTCAACAAATAATACTACAACCATGGAACCAAAATAGGACTGTAAATTCCTCTCCTCTCACAAAAAAAGGCTCTTTAGTTTCTTTGCTGCCTCCAAGAAACAAGCAATTTCATCTTCAGAGGATACAGAGATTAACACCTACCTCGATGGTCCTTGCATTCCGGAAGAAAGCAACCCTCTAGATTATTGATAGTTCCATTAAAAAACTTTTCTACCCTATCTATGCTAGCTAAACCATACCTGAGTATTGTTTGTTTGTTTGATTTGAATTTCGCGCAAA